GACAATAGCAAATGTATCCCTCAAAGTTTTGATAATAGCAAATGTACCCTGAGTATGATAAGCTATTTCTATTCTCACAGAGGCCCTTGGGTTCTATTACTTTTGTTTGTTTTGTATGCAGCACAAAGCTCGTGCCTTTAAGATGTGCCTTTAATTGTTTGTTTGTTCTGCACTCTCTGGCAACTACGGCTACGACCCCTAGCCCCCTCATTATCTGTCCCCGCAGCACCCTCTTCTCCGCAGCACCCACAAGCCACAACTATTTCTCCTGCAAACAACATAATTTCCCTGAGGGAAGGTCTAACAAAATGCTATAATTTATTTTAATATTGCTTTAAAACCTAGAATTCTTCATCTTTAAATTCTTTCTTGTTATACATTTTAAAAAAAGAATTGTAGTAGTCGTTTCCTTTTAGATGGATTGATTGTGGTAATGTACTTAATATAAATAAAAAATATATATATGATTGAGAATTATAAACCATTGTTGTTATATATGTTGTCTTGTTTGAGAATGCAAGAGCACTTGACTATGGAAGGTGAACTTGAATTTTGTAACTTTTTAAAAAACCCTTATAGATTTTGACTTACCAAGAATAATGTCATATAATTTAAAGCTAATAATATTTAATGTCATTATAAAGTTCTCAAAAAAATATTCTTAATAACCACAAGCATATATAAATTATAATTAATTTTTTAATTTTATCCTATTATAACCTCAAATTTTTCTTTAAAATATTAATCATAGTCAACAAATTTTAGCAAGGCATAGCTCTTATTTTGAAAATTCAAATGGTATAAAATTTTGCACACTAATACTACTATAAGCCTTCTACATGCTTACAAAAATTTAGCACAATCCAAGATACAAATTGTATGAAAATACCAAAATACCATAGTAATATCTATCAATCATTAACTTAAAAGTTGTTGAAGAAGTTCCAATATCAATTATTCTTTTCCAATTGTTGATATTTGTTTGAAATCGGTTTATAGCTTGGTTATTAAGGTTTATAACTGTATGCCAAATTTAATCTCATTCTAACTAGTGGATCTTTAAATATTACAAAAATTCCATCTAATCCTAAAATATTCTAAATTTAGGACCTCTTTGAACTTATGATTAGATATCTTTTATTTAAACCATCACTATGACATAGGTTTTTATACACATATACTACACACAATCAATCATTCTCTTAAGAAATTCCAATTGTAGATGTTACTTAGAATGCATAAACTAGCTAAGAATGCTATACTTATTTTTCTTGTATCAAATGCTAATTGCAAATATAAACCTTGACTTTAAATAACTCTTTTATAGTCATATTTAAATCAATAAAATAAAACTTCTTGCATCCAAAAGAAGTTCAAAATTAGCTTGCTAATCCTATGTGTCAGTCTCCAATGCCCTTATACTTTGCCCTATGCAATTGTTTTAATTATGGATTTGATTTTAATCATGACTTACAAACAAATGTCTGCCAAGTATCATTCCAACCAATTTCAAGTTTCTTTTAGTACAATCCTATACTTAGTTTCAATAATATCAACTATTTTATCTAACCCACTTCATCTTTACAATTTTATGATCTTTTTAAAGTAATAGAAGCATTTTTACATAAAAACTTAGCCTTAAAGAAGAAATTACTAACTAACTAACTTTAATCCATTAGATATTAAGACAAGCAAAATAAACTAGGAGGCTTTCATAAAGCCTTGTTTAAATGTCTTGAATTCTTATTGAACAAAGAAGATGGAATAATAATTAAAAATTTATTTTAAAAATATTTTTACTATATAATTATATTATAATATAATATTTTAGAAATAATAATTAATTTACTATTGAAATTATCTATTTCTAAATAATAAATAGATTAAGCTTTTTTAAAACTTATATTTTTAAAATTTAATTATTTTTAATATTATAAATGTTAAGGTGTGATTTATTATTAATTTTAAATAAAATTTATTCCATTTTAGAAATATCCAAATTTATTTTTAGATTTATTTATTTTTCTTTATTTTTATATAAAATCTATTATTTCTAAATTTTTACTTTTAAATTTATAGGTAATTAGAATAATTTAAAATATATATTATTTTAAAATAAAAACATATTGTAGTATTAAAAAATAATAATTTCTCAATCGTATTGTATAGTATGATCTTACTAGCTTAAAACTTTGATGTAGGAATAATAGAAGATATAATAGACATTTATTCATATTCAGTAGCTATTTATATAGCCCATATATACCTTTGTTTTAAAATCAAGATCATAGACTCAACATTTTTCCTTCAACTAATAATTATCTTTAATAAAACCATCACTTACATTTCTTTTAGCTAAATGAAAAAAGTATCAATTATCGAATATATCATTAGCAAATTATAAAAATATTTTTGTCATTATTTTGGCAACCAAGAAAAGTATCTCAGAAGATGAGACTTAAATAAAAAAAATTCCTCAAACTCATGAGTAGCCAAATGTTGCTTTAGTTGTTCTTCAATTCTGTCAAAAAATGAACTTTTTGTAACCCTCTTGCACCCTCATCAAAGAACTCTCATTAAAAGCTTCTGTTTTATTTCTTAAATATCAAAATTATCTATGTTATTCATATTATTTTATTCTATCATGGACCTTTAAAATAAGAATTAATTCAAAAGTAGAAATTATTTTAGATTCATAAAATTGATGTATTTTTATTTCACATATACAAGCTTAAAAACATTTAGTAATATCTTGTCCATAAAAATGTCCAATTTTATCAACCACCTCTAATAAAACTTTGGTTCACTCTTCTCACTTGATTTTTATCTATCTTATTTTTTAAATGATCTTAGAAATATATTTATAAGCTGACGTGTCTCTTAAAATTTGTTTTTTTTACTTCCTCTCTTTTAGTAACACAAGGATAAATTATGTCCTCAAATTTTTTTCAAGATTTATATCCTTAAGAATAGGCCAATAGAAGAATCTCAATGACTTAATATTGCTTAAAATTAAGGGAGATACTTAAAGGGAAGGAAGAGAAATAATATTTTTTGGAAGTGGTTTTTAATGAAGACAAGAAAACCGATTATTTAAATAGAATATTAAATCTTAGTTCCAATTTTCTTTTTTAATTAAAAAATATTTACATCACTTAATTTTTAGCCCAATATAAGAAAATTATTTTTTATTCTTTTATTCTTTTATAATTATTATTTTTTATTCCATGTATATCTATTTCTATTAGCATTTTTTTTCTTTTAGTTGTATTATTTAAATTTTAAAGTAGTACCTAGAGCCAATTAAAAGTCTTGAATATTTTTGAACACAAGCAGAACTTGAAACCGGTTATAGTACCAATTATATTGTGAAATATTTTTATACTATAGAGTATTTTTTTAAAAAACCGTGAAGATAGTGGAATTAATAAACAAGAGCTTGGAATTTTTTATAATTTACTATTCTTTTTTTTTAATATGCTAAAATTTTATTTTAAAGACAATAAATCTCTTTTGCACTAAGAAATAAAACTATGCCTACACAATACATTTAGTAGCTAGTATTTCATTAATTATATATTTGAATTTTTTAATATTAAATATAATTTTCTTTTTAAATTTAATAATATAAAAATAATAATTATTTTATGAAAAAATCATTTGACTATCATTTGTTTAAAGTAAAAATTATTTTTATTTAAATAAAACCAAAAAAGTATTTTTAATTTTAGAATTTAAATATTTATTTTGAAATATTCTAAAGTTTAAATGTGAAATTAAAAAAATTGATAATCAGGTTTTTAATCTCTAAATTTACAGTTTAACCATTTTAAATCATTTGTAATATTAAGTTTGTAGTAATCTAATCTTATTATATAAATCATAGTTCAGATTTTTTTATAGGTAAATGCCAATAAAATCCCATAAAAATTAAATAAAATATTATTATTAATTTAAAATTATTAATTTTTTTTTATTAATAAATATCAAAAAAATCTAATTATTCAAAGGCCTGTTTGTAAAACATTTATTGTTAATTCCAATTTTTTGTTAGCTATTATATAAATTTAAACACATATTTTTTTTAAAATTAAACTTTAAATTAAAAATTTAGAAATAATTTTATTTGTAGAGTTTTTCAAATGATATTAATCAATGACATATGTCTAGTTGATTTATGGTTTTAGATTTGAAATAAATTAAGTTGCAAAAATACAAATATAACAAGAATCATAATTATAACTTTTTCGTTCTTAATTTTTTTTACTTTATTTAAATATTAATTATATCATAACTTAGAATTTAATTTTTAAGTATTGTAAGTAAATTTAAAGATATCATTCAATAACATTTATCTTTTTGATAAAATATATAATATTATTGGATATATTCAAGATTTCAAAAATATAATTATTTTCTTACAATATTATTTTTATAAAATTTAGGCTAATATATGATGCTCTTTATTTATTTTTTTATACATTTTACTTGAATTTTTATCAAAATATAAAATTAACTAAGTGTAATATACTATATTTGTAATATGCCATTTTTAATTTACTTGATTTTCTTTTTAAAGGTAACACTTTGGATGTATAAGTTTTGCATAGTAATAGATATCATGGTGTATGAAAAATTTGAATTTCAAAACATATTTTAGTTAAATAATTATATATATATATCAAAACCAATTATTTGAATAGAAGAAATAGTTTTAAAAATTTTTGTATGCAATGATATAAATTTACCTTATTTTATTACAAACGATTTTATTAAAATAGTATCAAGTCAACTGGTAAAAAACAAGGACCTCTAAATGTAAACACAAAATGATATATTGTTTTAAGCTTGAAGTTTTTTATTTTCTATTACATATATATATATATATATATATATATATTACTTGCATTAATGACATGGTAAGAAGGATATGCAAATATCAATCATTTTAAATACACGAGTATATGTGAATACTGATTATTAAACAAAAGAATTGAATCTTCATTTTGTAATACTTCCATCATATTTTTTAATAATTATATTTCTATAAGTTACAACAATTCCATGAACTTTAAGTCTCCTACACATCAGGTTTACAAAAAGATAATGTTATCTTATTTTTACTATTTCCCACATCAGAGATCAAATTGGGTGTATTGAATAATTTGTACTTAATGTATATGATGCAAAATAGCAACAGCATCAACAACAGAGAAGCAGAAACAAATGAAACCCAAAGCATTGTGAGACATTTTTTTAATGGCATACAATGCTGCTTTATAATTTCTTCAAACATCAATTTCATAAAATCACAAGTAATGATATGAAAAATGGTTGGTAAAATCATATATACATTTTTTGTTGCATTCATTGCTCGTGTTGCATCTAAGAAAGCAAATTTTGGAATTGGTGTAGATTTTTTGAAACAATCATTTATATCATCTGAAAGGCAACAATATTTTTTATAATCCTGCAACATATATGTAAAGCATTCAATCTGGAGTCACCTATTAATTTATTCCGAAGTTATTTTTTTAAAGTTAATGTACAAAATTGATATCACATTAAATTGACTTAAAATGTGTGTGTAAATATATATATATATATATAAGCCAAAACCATCATCAGCATTGAAATGTTAAAGATGTACATTAATCCCATTAATCCATCCATGAGGAGAAATGTTTAACATTTTTGATTGAAGTTAATCATATTTAGATATGGATACCTCAACAAATTGCACAAAGGATCCTTCAGCAGGACTGCACTCCATAGGGATAAACTCTGGCTCTGGACCATAAGGGTCACAGATGTGTGGCACAATGGTGGGGTGAGACAGCCTGTGCCTCTCCACCAGCTTCCTCTCCTGCATATTGAGCACGTCCACCCATGAATTAGAGCCGTGGATGACTGTCTTTATTGCCTTCTTCACACCACTCAAAACCTCTGTGGCTCTCTGTGGCGTCAGACAGGGCAGCAGATGTGTAATGCTTGAGCTGAGGGGACTCTTGTTGTATGATTGCATGGCTTGGCATCCATCCACTACTAATCTGCATGCCATTTGAATGAATTCTTTCAAGTACTTGTGAACACAACTCACACATTCACTGCATTCATAAACCCCTCAACTCTATCAACTTTGTTTGCATTTTGTGTTGCATTCTCACATGACCATAACCCAGATATAGCTTCCACCCGCCTCCCATGATGTATTTATCTACTTTCTCGGCTATTCCAAAGCTTTATACTCATCCAAAAAGATCTTTAAGTGTGAGAAGGTTTTAAAATTATATAATGGTAAACAGTGACAATAAAAATGTACTGAATTTTGTTGAATGACATCTTTTCAAACAAGCACACTTACATGGCAACAGCAAAACCAATTCCAGCAATCATCCATGATGCAACCAAGGTAAAAACTGCACCAAAACACATACTACACCAAAACAATCATAAAACTCTATTACCTTAAAGACAACATACACATACACACAATTTTTATGACATATGTGTAAACACACAATTACAAACACTTTGGTTTTCATTCAACTTCATTTTATTTAAACTTAACACAAGATTTACTCAAAGATTGTAGTTTTGATGAGGAAAATAATTCTAAGTCCATTCACAGCAATAAATACAAGAAAAGAACATACAATGATAGAAATGTATGCCAGCATTGAAAAATACTGCCTGCCAAATTCACTCAAACAATTGTAGCTCAATTTCATATAAAACATCTCTTAATTTTTTCCCTAATTTCAATATATGCATCAAAGTTTATGAGATAAAATAATTGACATGTATGTGAAACAGAATTAAGAAGATAACAAAATAAACCAAGATTATTTTTTTAGTGAATTTGAGACAAATATGTTTTATTTTTTTATTTTATTTTAATTATAAAACAGTATAAAAGTTATACAGCATATCATTGAAAGTATTGATTATGGTCTGATTGGTTAAAAATTCCTATATATCATGTATAAATGACAATTGTTCAATCTTTTACTACAATAAGTAACTCAGTTGGTTATGACAAATTATACATACTTTTTTCATGTTATTTTATAAAGAAAATAAACAGTATAACTAAATTTTTGTTTTTGGATTTAAAGCATAATCTTTTGCAACCTGGTAACAGGGATTAGGGTTTGATTTTACTAAAAATATTATGAAAAAGATAGTTGATTGGAAACAAGTTAACTTTCAAAATTTTGGAAACCTCTTTAAATGTGGTTCAAATATTCTTCATTCAAATTTTGAACCCAAAACACGTGTTGAAAGCCAATTTAATAGTAACATGATATAATAAGAAACCTTAATGCTGAATTTTTTTCATTGATTTAAAATTTAAAGTTTTGAAATATTTTTAATTTGACTTTGAAAACACCAATTGTTATTTAAAAATATATTCACACACATATAAAAACAACAGCTTTAGGAATGGAACGTTATTTAATATTTAAATGGAAGATGCATAAATTTGGTTTTACCAAAATATTTTTGATTATTAGTTTTAATTCCTGTTTTGAGATTTTCAAAACATTCATGCTGGAATTGTACAGGAAAATACCATTTACTTTTAAAATTTAAACTCTGTTTTTTCTGAATGTAATTTTAATTTTGATTATGGATGACTCAAACCCATAGAAAACCTTTGCAATTTGCAGTGTGCTGTTTAAAAATAATATTTTCACAAAAAAATAAAAACAAGATAAAGGGGAAAATGAAAAAAGAAAAAAGAAAACAGAAAGAGTTGTCTACCAATGCCAATTATCACCATCAAAATCATCAGAGACGCAACCATAGACACAACTATATTTCTGCACACATCAACAAAACATCCTCAATTAACAATTTTGAATATTTATTTAGTTAGTTTGCAGTTGATCTGTTGCCTCAAAGATATGAGCAAGCTATTGCATTTCAAATTTAATATTATTTTTTGTTGATTTTTTTCCTATTTTTCAATTTATTACATTTACACGTTTCATTACTTGAAATGGGGGTGTAACCTTTGATACTTACACAATGTCAAAAATTTTGTAGGCATGAGACATGTGTGATTTAACATTTTGTGTAAGATTTCTGAATGTGTCACCAAGGTTATTACAGGCAGAGAGGGTACTCTTTGCCATATCCTGATTTGCCATGGGACTGATGTTGGATAAGGGAATCATGTTAATAGCTCCATCAACTTGCAACTGCAAAACCCTCAAGAGTTACATAAAAATGTAAGCCATTCTATTTGGGATAATTGTGAAGAGCCATCACAAAGCTATTTAAGTTATCACTTACATCTGTGGAAATGAATAAAAAGAAAAAAGAAAGTGTAAATATTTAATATGTTTTTTTAGCAAAATACTGGAAAAATGTAGAAAGAAATAAGGAGATTTCAAACTATCATCCAGTAAAATATATACAATTTGCCTTTGATGTAAGGGTTTTGCAATGTGCATACAGTGACTTGGTCCACAGTGCTAACCAAGATCCCTCCAGTTTTCTTTAGCTCATGGACAAGCTTATCATTTTCCCACAATATTACACCACTGGCTCCTCTGCAAAGCATCTGCATTTTTTAAGTCTTCCAGTTTTCTACTCGTTTTATGGCTACAGTTGCATGGCTCTGAAGTGTGGTATACATTTTGATTACTTCAAATTATTTTGAATTTATCAATATTATTCCAAATTGCTTCCTTGCTTTCAGGTTAAAACATTAAATGAAACAAAAGGAAAAAAAACATATTTCTACATGACAAAATTGAAACAGAAATAACTGCCAGAAGTGGGATGGAGCTGACAAAAGGAGTATGCTGAATTGTATCATGCAGTACACAGATACACTGTGAAGCTTATCCAAAGAAGGATTGAAAGTGGTTTTCTTCAACTCATAACGCCAGTTGTAGTGCTGCCATATGACTGACCCAACTCCAAATATGAGGCAAGAAGCAGCAATTATGTAGCCCCAGATTCCTGTGTAGGCAAGAGACTGTTTACTCCACAACAAAGCCCATGAAACCATTTTATGAGAGTGAAGTTTCCAAATTGAACATAAAAGGATTGCAACCCCCTCCAATAGTATTTTTTCACACCACTGGATTTCCAAATTCAGAAGAAAATATTGCAGATTGGAAACAGGAACATTGCATGAGAGCAAGTTGATTATGGAGCTATTCAATGCAATGAGAATATAATCATCCACCAGCAAGAGCACCTTATGAAAATAGATTTAAATGGGGCTTTAAATTAACCTAAACTTTCACACAGCACAAATACAAGACATGCTGCTAACTATATTCATCTTTTACTGGTCTCCTTTCATACACAGAAAAATTTCCTCTCAGTGATCACAGAGGTTTGGGAGCAGGAAATTTGATGGTGACATCAAGTCAGAGTTGCTTTGGGATGTTGAATGATTGGTTGTGGAGAAGAGAAGTGGTGTAAAATTCTTCTGAAAATCTTATTTGTGGACAAGCTACTTGGAAATAAACTGATCATCACAGAGAAAGCATCATTTAGACCTTGTTGTTTTTGAAGGCACAATGCAAAGGTCAAGGGATCATGAGCAGAGGAAGTTCATGTGACTATTCCTAGAATTGTTGCAAGGTGACAACTGCAATGTTGTCACAGAAAGAAGTCTTTGCCTTGAAAAACTTACACTCCAGTAGTGCATGTTGGTGACATCAAAGCCTCCTCTGTATTTCTTCAAATGATTCAGAGGGTCCAATCGTGGGAACATGCCTCCACAAATGTCTACTGATAAGGTCAATGGCTTCTCCAGCAATACTGTTGCCTGATGCAACACTAGCCTGCTCTGGAGCACAATGGGTGGAATATCAGTATATTGTCCACTTAACTGAAGTCCTCTGATAGAACAACTGCTACCTAAATGTATCCACACAGATTGCACACATCCAAGGCATCATTTAATAGGGTTTTATTCTTTGATTTCAACTAATATACAGTGAAGCAACAACTATACAAGGCAAGGTCTCATCACAAATAAATGCATGTCATGCTGATCCAATCTAGACCTGCAGCAGCCAATAGAGTTTTGGCTGTTAACTGTGCGACTGACCATTGAATGTTACTGATTGGTGAAATTGTTGTGGTGCATGGGTGAATTTTGGATCATAGATGTGCTTATTCTGGGCTAGCATTAGATGTCTCCCAGACTAGAATCTTAGTAATTTAAAAAATTCATTAATAGATCTTGGACAACTCTATTTTTGTTTTAATGTGCCTGCCCATGCTTGTCCACACAAATTGGGAGCTCAAAGTTGAGAGAAAGGGAAGAGGCCAAGGGGCTAAAGGAAGAGGGACAAAGGGTTGCAAAGTCAAAATTGAACTTGAAATAAAATTTTAAAAAATATTTCCATTGTATCTTTTAGTGATTGCACTTCAAAACTTAAAATTCAAATTAGATTCTTATAAACATCTTGTAGTTTTAAGTTCATAGGTCAAAAAAAATTTAAATTTTTATTTTAAATTCAAAAATAGATAGTTAGTTTTTATTTAGTCTACCAATAGGTTGCTAACCAAGTATAGGTTGTCAAATAGGTTATTGCAAAACAATTAGTGGTTATAACCAACCACACTATTAAGTAAGAAAGATCCCAATGGAAAAAAGATTCTTTAGTCGAGGGAATGTTATCAACCAAGAAGGATTGAATACTTGAAAAATAAAGCATCTTCTTTTTAATTAAGTGTCTTCAAGTATTTTAAGTGAGGGTGCATGGTTATACCAAAAAGGAAGTAAATCATTTCAAGCAGTCTACAAAGAGCATAAATTGGAGAGAATTGTATTGCCAAATGAAAGATAGGTAATTACCTAATTGGTGTTTTGATGTTGTTAAGGTCCCAAAATAGAGCTAATAAGTATTAACAACATGATGAAGTCTTTGTTTTTTATTAAATTAGATTTAATTAATATATTACTGCAAATTGACATTGCTGTAGTTAGAAGATAATTGGATTTGTGATTGAAGTGGATTGCTTACTTTTTATTTAATTTTATTACCATTAAAAATCTTTTAGATTAATAATAACTATTAGAAGAAAAATCACACTAATTTATATTAGATTCAAAGTTTATAATCTTTTTAATTAGACTTTTTGTTAATTTAAAAGAAGTTCATAAAAAAATAACAAGAAGATAGTTTTATTTAAATTAGTCATAAACAACAATTGTATTAAATCTAATCTAAGACAAAAATTTGGCAAGTGTGGTTATACTAATTGTAGTTAATACCAATTAGTATCAGTCATAAATTAAAAATTATTGAAACAACTTATTAGACTAAAATAATTGGTAATTACTTCTATTTATCTTAATTTTTCTATTTGGCAATTTTCCTCCATGTATTTGAATCTAATACAATATAAGTCAAATTAGTAGAAAAAATAACATTCAATAATTTTTTTGCTACTTGTATAAGTCCTTGTAGTTGGTAAAAATATTTACCAATTTTATATTATTTATATTAATAAAAATATTGTCCATTTATATTAATAAAAATATTGTCCATTTATATTAATAAAAATATTGTCCATTTATATTAATAAAAATATTGTCCAATCCACTATACAGTCATTGTTCCAAAGTATTAGATAGATAGTTGATTATACAAAAATTTATAATAAAATCATAGATAAAATCTTATAATGTAGTATTTATTTGTAGTTTTAATCTAAGAGGTATTTTATTACATTACTTTTTAATATGCATCTATAAATAATAAATATTTATAAAGAATAATGAAGATTTTTTTGACTTTATCAATACTAACAAAAGCTATTTGTGAGCTTCTATTCAAATATCTATATTTTTTCTTTTTTATAGTTCTTATCTATTTTTAATAAAATAACTAAAAATTATCTTATATACATATTATTTATAAAAATATTTTTATTTAAATTAATAGTTAAAAAAATCATAAAAAATAAAATTATGATTTTTTGATAATTTATGTATAATTTAGGATTAAGATTTTTTAAATTAATTTTTTTGTTATATAATATAAAATAAAGATAATAGAATATTCTTGATTTATTTTTGCAATTTAAAAAATATTTAGAAATATATTTTTAATTCATTAGTAATTATTAAAATAAAATTTGAAGATTTTTGTAAAAATTACTTTATTGATTTTTAAATTCTATTATAAAAAATTACATCAGATTTAGAATTTAGAATTTAGAATTTTAGGATTAAATATTTAGGATTTAGAATTTATATTTAGAGCTTAAAATCAAAGGCTAAAAATTTAGGATTTAAGATTTAGGAATTAAAAGTTGAAGATTTAGAATTTAGAATTATAAAGTTATGATTGATTTTTTGACTCTCTTATGTTTGGATTTTGACTTAATGTACATTGAACTTAGCCACTCCATTAATTTGGTGACGTATAAAATTGTACTCTCTTCAGTATAGTTGACCCCTAATGCTTTCTTTGAATTTGGATTCATAAGCAGGCTCTGTCCACCCTTCATTTCCTTCTTTATTTGCTAATATGTTTCAGTAAAGCTCATGAGTCTAAGATGGACTAAGAGATGAAGTTCTAAATGAATACCCATAATCAAAATGAGGTCATGACTTGGACTTTTTGTAGTCACATACTTTTTGATGTGAAAAAATTATTTTGAGGTTTATTTATATTTATTATAGTGTTTAAATTATATAAGATTTAGATATTTAGAATAAAGTTATAAGAGAAGATTGGAGCTCAAAGTTGAAGACTCAAACTATTAAGAAGCTTATTTGGAGGGACGAAGGTAAAGTATGGATGGATGAAGATAACAGATGAAGATCTTCATCCCTATTGATCGAAGGCTATGCCCAATAGGCTTTTAGGAGATAGTCTGCAACCATGAGAAGATTTTGTAGTGACCTCAAAAGAACATTTGAGAATCAAAAGCTAGAATTATAAGTTTTAGGATTTGGATTATAATTTGGATATAAAAATTAGTGAGTTTGGAGTTAAGTTGAAGAAATTATAGCTATTTGAAGTAAAGATATCATTTTAAGACATACTATTGTTCTTTTGAGCATACGAGGAATTTTACAATAGTTTTTTGAGATTAAAAGGTGCAATTAGAACGGCAATTTCATGACTTACATCTTTTATGAAGAAATTATTATATTTAAAGTCTAGATGAAGAAGTTATAGAGAGTTGAAGTCAATACATTTAAATTAAAGGCAATAAGTAAGTGATTTTATTCAAAGTAATGATTAGAGCCATATCTTAAGTTGTCGAATGAATTTTTAGCTCAAATATTTTAAAAAAGATGGAATAATGTATTAAAAAGCTATATATATAAAAAATTTGGTATTTGAGTACTTAGTTTATGAGATATAAAGAAAATTATATGCAAGTATATAAAAATTAAGGTTTTGAAGCTACTGTTAGGGTTTTGGTAATATCTTAAGATCCATGATGAATTTGTAGTTGAAATTTGTTGTGGTAGTTTTTAGAAGTACATCAATACTTTATATAATATTTGAGTATGTTTGAATAGTCCAATTGAGAGATATGAGTTGTTGAAGTTTGAAAATAATATCCCATAAGAATTTATAAGGATTTATAAGGATTTAGAGTTTTTTTTTTTTTTTTTTTTTTTTTTTTTTTTTATTTTATTATATTTTGGATATTTTTGAAAGGATATATATATATATAAAAAATTTGGTCTTTTTTATTTGAAGACTTGATTAAGTAATTAGTGACAGCCAGGAGCCTAGTGCTTTCTTGAAGCAAATTCTCTCTATCTTGATATATTGATGCTTCTATTGAGAGAGCTTTAAGATACTAATTATTTCAATAAGTTAAGATGGGGGATCAAAATCATGGATTTTCATTACTAGGTCGAGTGGGTGCCTATGATTTATTTATAGTATTTGCTCAATTTATGGAAGAGAGGCAATAAGTACATGGAGAAAATAAAAACACTACTAAAGCTTTATAAGTAGTAGTGGATAAGGTTAGAAGGTTTGATGGGAGGAATATCTTTAAGCTCCTAAGGATTTATACGTATGAAATGGAAGTGCATCAAGTTTCATAAATGAAGATAATTACCACATTTGATTTGGCAATGATACCAAAAATCAGAGAGAGAATATAAGAGTTACATACTAAGGCTATATTATAGAAGAAATTTGAAGAACTTTTGAAGGATGAATTTTTTGAAGAAGATTCAATAAGAATGACTAAAGTGACTTTTTTGGAGTGGATCAAGCAAAGGCCGAGAAATCAAATGGCTCCAAATGAGTTAATTAAGGAATTTGAAACTAAGTTTGGACAATTGTCATGACAAGAGAGACAATTCTTGGAAACAAAAAAAATTGAATTATTCTTGCAAGCAGCTAATGAATATTTTGAGAATAAGATACTCTTTTATTTGATAGATAATAAATCTAAGAGTAGTTTTATAAATAATTAGAAGCTACTAAAAGAGGCAATGGAGCTTTTGGCTAAACAACAGAAAATTAAGACTTGTGGTTTAATATCAAGGTGGAGCCAGTGCTTGAATTTCAAAATCTAGTGCCACCTCAAAAAGTATTTAAGACTATAAAGGATGATACTCTTGAAGAATTAATCAAAAGCATACAATATTTGAAGGTAAAAATGATTAAATTAAAGAAATCCTAGATGGCAAGTTCATCAAAGACAATTGAAGGATCAAAGGGATTTGTAAAAAGATATATGTGGTGTGACAATTCAAACCACAAGCATGGTGAGTATGATAGCTACAAGGCTGAAATCAAGGATGGTATTGTATATTTCAAAGAAAATAGGATAAGACTTACAAGGGCCAAATGAAGACTAATGTTGAGAAAGGTGGTATGAAAAAATTAGTAGAGGACCAAACATTAAAGAATAATGCCAAATAATGAAAAGAAACTGAGTCTTACTCTATTATAGTTGAAGAAAAAGTAGTTAAGGCTATTTCTTTATCAACTACGGAAGCTATGATCAAAGGATCTAAAGCTATGAGAAAAATAATTGGATGGAATGATTTAGTTGATGCTATTAGTGTTAAAGTATTTTTATGTGGAAACAAACATGAAAATGAATTACATGATGCCATGGTTGAAGAAAAAAAAATAGAACCATTGATGAGGAGGATGTTGAGTCTGAAAATAAAAAGAGGTCTCTAAAAAACAAAGAAGCTTTTACAGAGAAAAAATCGGAGAAAATACCTTCTTCTACTTATTTTGGTGGTGCATCATTACCAAAAGAGTGGTGGAAGAAGGTCAAAGAGAAGAAGAAAGATGATACAAGCAAATCTAAAGATAAAAATCTTACTTATAAGCTTCAATTTGATATTGAGACATCTATAAATATGAAGAGCATTTTAGAGGAAAAGATCTTAGATGCCAAAATTGAATTCACT